TCTCTTCTTCTTGCTCACTGACATAATTTTGAATTAATAACAATCCTTCAGGATAGCCTAAGTTAGAGTCTTTATTGGTTTCGCAAAAATAATCTTCCAAGTAATTGAGAATAAACGCCTTAATACCCGATTTTACCAAGTACTTGATATCGGTATCACAAAAGGTGATCAATTCAATGGCATGGATATTATCATATGCTTGCTTTGCATCGGTTACTGTTTGATAAGACAAGACAGAGAACGGTTTATCAGGTAACATGATGATATTAGTAATTTGTCCATATCGGCCAAACACCGATGTTAAGATTGTTCGAGTTATACCACAACCCAATCCTCCATTGCTGATGAGTAAATGCCTAGAAGGTTGATCACTGACTTTAAACTCATTCAAAACATTATGTCGATCAAGGATTCGCTTGGCACGTTGCTGTTTTCGTAGTGCTTTCTTCTGTGCCTTGCTTAACTTTATCCTTTCATTGTTTTGCACATTGCAATCCATTTTGATGACTACTTATTACGAATACTTTGAATCAAAGGCTAGTCGATTCGAAGTATTATGATTTCCATTTGCTGCAGTGTTGCAAAGTTGAATCTCGCATTTGATGTTGATGATGGATCGCCGTGTGGACGAGTCTGGATCCGTTCCATGGTAACCTATCGAGCTGTGTACTGTACACTGTACAGTATAGACCTGACTACAGTATACAGTTCATTACGGTGGCTCTTGTCAGCCACCGTAGTTCATAGAGGGTCTGTCGTGTACTGGTACAGTTGTTCTACCAGCGAAGCATTTGAGGACCGTACTGTCACTCTGTCAGTCCAAGATCCAGATGCTGCATGACGTCATGAAGATATTCCATGTCACTTGAATTACAGTTGACGTTAAGACAGTACAGTACAGTACAGTACAGTACTTTATTACTGTAATCATCAAATATTAATGGTACAGTACAATACAGTACTGTACAGTACTTGTGAACCACGTCTAGTACTGTACAGTGTACAGTACAGTACTGTACAGTACTGTCCTGTACTGTACGTACTGTACACTGTAAGAAAATTCAGATCAGTGCGAATTTTCTTACAGCACTGTGCTATACAGTACAGTACAGTATAGCGTACAGTAGTACTGTATCGGCACAATGATAGACAGGTCAGCTACTTTATTGTACTGTACAGTGTACAGTGTACAGTACTTGTGAACCACGTCTAGTACAGTATCATACACTGTAGCTTACAGTACGGTACTGTACTGTACGTACTGTACACCGTAAGAAAATTCAGGTCGGTGCGAATTTTCTTACAGCACTGTAATATACTGTACAGTATAATGTACAGTAGTACTGTATCGGCACAACGATAGACCGGTCAGCTACTGTACTGTACAGTGTACAGTGTACAGTACTTGTGAACCACGTCTAGTACAGTACTGCATACAGTACAGTACAGTACGGTCCTGCACAGTACGTACTGTACACTGTAAGAAAATTCAGGTCAGTGCGAATTTTCTTACAGCACTGTACTATACTGTACAGTATAGTGTTCTGTAGTACTGTATCGGCACAACGATAGACAGGTCAGCTACTGCACTGTACAGTGTACAGTGTACAGTACTTGTGAACCACGTCTAGTACAGTACTGTACACTGTAAGAAAATTCAGGTCAGTGCAAATTTTCTTTCAGCACTGTACTATGCTGTACAGTATAGTGTTCTGTAGTACTGTATCGGCACAACGATAGACAGGTCAGCTACTGCACTGTACAGTGTACAGTGTACAGTACTTGTGAACCACGTCTAGTACAGTACTGTACACTGTAAGAAAATTCAAGTCAGTGCAAATTTTCTTTCAGCACTGTACTATGGTGTACAGTATAGTGCACAGTAGTACTGTATCGGCACAACGATAGACAGGTCAGCTACTGCACTGTACAGTGTACAGTGTACAGTACTTGTGAACCACGTCTAGTACAGTACTGTACACTGTAAGAAAATTCAGGTCAGTGCAAATTTTCTTTCAGCACTGTACTATGGTGTACAGTATAGTGCACAGTAGTACTGTATCGGCACAACGATAGACAGACAGTTCAGATACCGTACTGTACAAGTGTACAGTGCACAGTACGGTGTACTGTAGTGTTACAGTACTTTGTCTGTTGTACTGTATGGTACAGTATTTTCCATCCAGTACAGTACTGTACTGGACTGGACACTGTTTCAAGTGACGACCCTGCCATCCTTTTCGACTTGATCGTCACTCATCTCTATGCTGGGTTTTTTTTCAAAGCAGTTTTAATCAAGTATTTTGTAGAATTAAAACGTTTTTACAACATTAAAAATCTGTTGTACGGGCGCACTTGCTGCCTTGACACTCTTGGACAACAAATACATCAATTGAAGGATACTTTGAAGCACCGCTTTGCTGCTATTTTTCCCAGCAAGTCGTTCATTGCATTCAACTGCCGTTCAACACCAAGGTCGATTCCGTGATGCCTGCGACGATCCC